TGGTGGGTAGGTCACGTGGAGGGGGCACATTAGCAATGTGAGGTGGGTAGACAGCATAACATCGTTTCATGCAGTATTGCTCTCGGCCAATGAAATTTCACGATTTTTATCAGAGGCAGGATAATCTTTTTTATGCTATCCTAATAGGCTCCTTACCACTGGACACATAATGCTTACAAATAGGAAAGTAGAACATTTAATTGCTTATTTCATCATCTGCCAGTTTGGGCCAGTTATGTAAATTTTGTGATGTTGATCAAAATATATTTAAAAAAATCAATTCTTTAAAAGTCTTTCAATATATCTTCATTTTTTTAATATGTGTTAGGTGAATGTGTAGACATTGTTCTAAAATTTACTTGATGCCTAAAATTATAATTCCTATCATAAAACAGACAGAGAGTATTGGGGAGTAGGGTGAACATTTTTTCAATTAAGTGTGAAATAATTTTTCTGGCTGATACAAATGATACTACATGCCTGTATATATTTGTATATTCTTGCCTTTTAATAGTTGAATTTTTGTTATTTTTTCAGGTTATTGTTTATTTCTTCCTCAAATGGACTTAACTTCTCCCATAGTTTTATTCATTACATCTGATGCATAAGCAACCCTTTTCTGAAGAATAATGCTTAGACTGTAAGCTATAACAGAGACTTAAACAATGTCGCTGGCAATATGCAATAGCTACCACGGGCAGTTTAAAACCTTGGGGAGGAAAATAATTTACAGACATATACTTTTAAAACGAATACATAATTATCTCACCAGCATGTCATTGTGCAACAAAGTTGTCAGCATTTTATTTGTCCTTTGAACGGGTGAAACGTTTTGAATGGCACTCTTATCGATGAATTTTACACTAAACCAAGCTATCTTCTCAGATCTAGCTTTATTTACCTGCCGTTTCATCGTAAAACCGGAAGTGCGAGTTCGTAAATTTGAAATCTCGATCCCGACTCAAATTTGACATCGGAAAGAAAAAAAAAATTTTTCTGAAAATTCAAAACCTTGAGCGGAGGGTTTGTAAAACTGAAAATAAAATAAATCCTGGCCTTAAATATGTAATTAGATCATTAGCATATTAACCAGGAGCAAAGGATAAGATGTTCAAAGAATTCATGCATTTCACTATATAATCATTAGAGCCCCACCCTAAAACAAGAACCCCTGACCCTGGGGCCATAAAATTCACAATTTTGGTAGAGGCACTCTTGCTCATCATAACTGTGTACTTAGTTAGTTTATTTAATACCCAGGAGCAGAGAAGAAGATTTTCAAAGAATTAATGTATTTTCACTATATAATCAATAGAGCCCCGCCCTAACACTAGAACCCCTGACCCTGGAGCCATAAAATTCACAATTTTGGTAGAGGCACTCTTGCTCATCATAACTATGTACTTAGTTGGTTTATTTAATACCCAGGAGCAGAGAGGAAGATTTTCAAAGAAATAATGCATTTTCACTACCTACTTATTTAGCCCCGCCCTAGCACTAGAACCCCTGACCCCAGGGCCATGAATTTCACAATTTTGGTAGAGGACTCATTGCTGATTACAATCGTGCAAACAGTTTGACTGCTTGATGTCCAGGAGTAAAGAAGAAGATTTTTAAAGATTGCATTAATTTTAGTGGTTTTGGCCCCACCCCTCAGGCCCCAGGGGGGCAAGGACCATGAAATTCACAATTTTTGTTCCCCTTCACCCACAGATGCTGTATACAAAATTTGGTTGAAATTGGCTTAGCGGTTTCAGAGAAGAAGCTGAAAATGTTCAAATGTTAACACAAGACGAACGACGGACGCCGACGGACAAACACGGATGGCAATAGGTCACCTGAGTGACTCAGGTGACCTAATAGAGTCATTGCACGTTTTCAATCGTATTTTACAGTTAATTCACTCGATTTCAACAACAATAATCGTATTTCGCATAAAATAAAACGAATTCCTAAATTTTCAAAATTTTGTTGTTCTTATTTCATGATTACATGAAACCCAAAAAGCAATTGTTGGTTTTGCTATTCCGCGGCTTAGTCGGGTCCTTGACCAGAGGTCACCACTGACACAGATTTTTCTAAGGGCTATTCCAGAAAAAATGTATGGGGGGGTTGGAAGGCACTTTATTTTTACCCCACCACCCATACATTTTTAATTGCTTTTAGGGGTGAAACGATACGCCTCCTTCACGGTTCGATACGTATCGAAAAATTTGGTCTCGGTTCGGTTATTTTCGGTACGATACATTTTGATAGAAGGAAATAAATTCAACTGTTGTTTTGTTACGAATTTGGCATTCTCCACTATGGTTATGAATAAGTAAACAAGATGTTTCTTATGATATGAATCGTTATAATAATGATTTGATGAATGATTGAATGAATAATATGTATTGACATTTATTCTTATTTATCTGTTATTATTGATTAATGTTATTTGGAATTTATTATGATCTGGGTGCAAATTGTTCACTTCATTCCGAATTTCCTCTACGTTTTGAGGAATACGCAACGTAAATAAACCATTGACTGCATCATAAATGCAATTACATAGTACCTAATGTGCTTACCTCAGATAATTTGGATAAATAATAAATCCATTCACTGATAATTAGAGTAAAACCTTATAATTACACTCTGTTTTTCATACTAAGCGGCAAAAGCTATAAAGTACATTCGGAACACCTCTGATGAGTATAATAGTTAAGTGCATCCGAAGTTTTCCAGCTATTTGACGTTATGGCGCCAAATCTCATGCATTGAGTGATTGACGTCATAAAGGTTGTAAAGGCTTTATATACGAGCCCCCAGCGTCTAACGGTCAGACGCCTGCGGTCTCACCCACGGAAAGGTCTACCTGACGGACCAACTCCGAACAAGGCAGTCTCCCCATCACAAAGGGTTCTGTTTTAGACAGAGAGACAAATTGACATGATGGGTAATTATTAACCTGAATTTGTTAGCAACGTTTGATTGCGTTATTTACTCAGACACAAGTGGTGATCTGAACTCATCGTTATTGTTTACTGTTGAGTAGTATTTACTAAGGCACAAGAAGTGACCTGAACTTGATATTTATAACTCCTGACATTATTACTAACAACAAACTAACAAATGCATGGTGCAGTTTTGTTGAGATGTTAGCATAACTTTTTGTCCCTATACAATTAGTTGTTTGCTAATAGTATTATCTGACATTTTATATTTATACTCACTAAGTGAAGAAATCACTAGTTCAATCTTTGTTCAAGACCTAAAGATATAAGGTCTATTCGTGTTTATTAAAGGGTTTGTTTAAGGGTGGTTTTTATATTAACATTTTGTTGGAAAGGGTGGTTGGTTTGTTTTTATTTCAGGTGAGGACCGCAGAGCCAAAGAAGAGTATTTTTGTATGTTTATTGAATAAAATCTAATAAAATATTAAAAACAAATTATATCCTGTTGTCTTTCGTTCAACATTCAGATTAAGGAGCCCCACAATGTTACGCCGCTAAACATCTAAAGCCGTAAGTCGTAACAATTGGTGTCAGAAGTGGGATAAAGTTTTCCTTTTATTCTGGTTGATCGAAAGTCTACATCAGGATCTTAAAATATTGTCTTACTAAGTCTATTGACAACGACAAGCACATTGACATATGAACACATAGAATTTGTGTT